AGCCGGTTAATGACGGAAAATGCAATCGAACAGGCGAAGGCGAAGCTGAACTGTCGCAGATTGAGGAGATAAGATGGCACTTTGGGTCAAGTCGACAAGCCAAATTTATCTACGTCCCGGCCCCAGTATGGAAACGAAAACGTAATGGAGTCCACCACCGTTGTGGACGATTCGGCGGCACCACAGGGAGAATAAAAGTACCGGCCATTTTCGAGCACAGTTTATAGTAAGCCACGGACAGGAGAGAGGTATAGTGCAGTATGTCCAGCAGTGGTTATTCAAAGAGCGCAGAATGATAACCCCGGAGTGATCGGTCAACAATTCTTAAGCAATGATATTACGATCTATCTGGTAAACCGAAGCAGGGCACCTCAGTCAGGAGGCAACGAACAAGCCGTGTTCCAAATTCATGCTGTTGCGCTGACTGTCGAATGAGAGCATATGCCTGTGAATAGACTGTTGGACAACGCGGGTTGTGCAACCAGCCGAGGAGGTTCAGCTGGTGCATAAATATTCAAGGTTACCACAACCCATGACGCGGATGTAACCTGCAATCAGAATAAGCATTAGAACGCAGAGTAAACGCGGGTGATCAGGTTGTCAGAATCGGCCTTGTTTTCATGAGAGAGTGCATGGTTTTCCTGAATGGCAGATGACAAGATGATGCTTTAAAAAGTAGTACTTTCGTTGATAGTTGGCAAATCCTGACGTCGTTTAAGCTGAAACCTGTGGCATTTGGAAAAGAATGATATATGTAACCAGATACTGGACACACGCCTCAGCCCTTCGGGACCCGTTGCGAGTGAACCGTTTTCTGATCAGATGAAAAAGGACAGTCTACATAGAGCAGTTACGGATTGTTGCTGTGGCAACACCCACCCGCCGCCCTTCGTAGTGTGGGTAGATAGAACTAAACCCGCAAGTTTATTGAAAAGTAAAAGTCTTATAAACACCACAAATTCGAAGTTTAAAACCGCACACAAGAAGGGCACATTACAAATTGCTGCAATCACTGAAACAACCCCTCAAAGATCACTTAGTTTGACTGGATTACATCAGCAACCCATCTGATAAGCTTGATCATGTTCACCATAAAAAGTCAGGTGAACTAATCGACTCCATCGCCTCAGAGGTACATGAAAGAAACCGTAGAGTAAAAATGTCATCGCCTTTAACCTACCAGACAGATTCAGTTTGAAAAAAGTAATGACAACAGTACTTAGCGCTTGTAACATGTCCGAGGTCATGTGTAAATGTATGCGTCTAAAAAAGAAAACACTGAGGCACTGCTGTCCAAATATGTTTAAATTTCCAAGTGAAGAATTGGCAGATAGTTTCTTGCACAGCCAACATATCATTATTGCATGGAGCCAGTTTGATTAACCCGGATCGTACGCCTATGCAATGATCGATCCTCAGAATTACACCGATAACACCGGAAAAAGGTACTAGACACGCTGATAAACCGCACATAAATCTTCATTAAAATGGCACATCAAGTGTGGCAACGGCAACTACCAACGTGGAGCTCGACAACTCGTACCTAGGAGAGGTGATATAAAATAACTTTGTTCCACGTTCTATCTCAAGGCCTACCGTAATACAACCGAACTTAACAGACGCCAGTAGTCCTAACTGCTTTGACCTGAAACGGTTTAGTCACTACAGAAAATATTGGATGTAGGGAACAAATGACTGACTGGAACCAAATAAAAAGATCGGGAAACAAATACAAATGTCGAGATGTGCCCCCAGAGTTGCGTGCTGATGTCGTAAACACAAATATATCGTCTACTGGTATTTAAACGAAATACGCAGCCATGACGAACTCGATAGCGCTCAAAGCTCCGTGTCTACCAGTGCCTTGTCATCGCAGCGCTACGCGCTACTTCGAGCCTGTTAGAACTCGAAACAAGTATCTTCTGGATACAGCTACCTACTAACCTTCAACATATACTTATATGGTTGGCGGCATCCGGCTTCGGGTTTGCCTGTCCCTGTGGCAAGCCACAGGACGCCTGCGCCTACAGAGGGACCATGGATGGCTTGCGCTGCACCACCCACAGCTCCAACCACACACACCATATCCAGTGTAAACCCGAAGGAATAAGACCGGGAGGCATGCGGATGAGAGCCACGTTTCATCAACGGAGCCGGCCCACACTCCTTCACAGGCAAACACAAGCACGCTGTAGTTGGGGAATCAAGCGCACACAAGGCGGTGGCTGGACCGTAGTCCGCTCCACACTGAGTGCATGGAACCACTCTTTGAGCCTAGCACGGCCACAAGCACCGTGCACCCCGTCACCTCTAGCAACGACCAACTGTTTCCTAGAGCCCGTATGGACGATGTACTGGGTAATAGACAGATAGGCACCTTGTCAACATGCACATCAAGCGCAGCCACACAGGGGATATCAAGCAACAGCCAATCACTTAAGAGGAAGATACCAAAGAAAATAAGTCGAGTAATGCATAAAGAAAGGGTGACATATATATTAAAGTAATGAGCATATGAAGTAAGTTTTTTACAGAAGCATGGGAGATAAGTTCACGAGTTCAGAAAGTATACTTTACGGAAAGGACACAAACACGAAAATATTATCGAAATCGACTAAAATTGGCTTATCAGCCTCTGGTCTACAACAACCCTAGACAGAAAAAGGAAAACCGGAAAGACCTGGAAAACATGACAATACCACCTGTCATGCGACATACGTATGCAGCTCCTCACAATCCATCACTTTAGTATAACCCATTTTTAGCGGAAGTGGGAATGGCTCCGCATGCATTCCCACCAGTGACATACCCAGCAGAGACAGCCTATCTTGTTCCACTTTTCTGGCAGTTCATCCACATGTCACGGTTAGCTCAGTACCAGATAAACCCCAACCTAACCTCGGGACACCAAGTTTTACGGTTTTAATAGCGCGAACAATGCCCTTACAGCTGAGCATTCCACCGATGGGTTTGTTTCTATCACCGCGTTATTTAACTTCTTTGCCTGTCATTACTGATTCATAATCATCTGAAGTACTCAGAAAACGTTTTCGTGCACAACACATTTTCGCTTATACTAATTAACGCAAGATCCATTATAAACAAGTTGTATTTCGTTAGCATGCTTAATCAGCTGAGCACCCCACATGTAATCTCCGTCACGGAAGCATGGTGTTCCAATGATACATTGGATGCTATTTTAGTTATTCCTAACTACCATCTATTTCGAAAAGACCGCAGCACGAAGAAGGGAGGCGGGTGCATCATATATCCCCGCCGGAACTTCAGAACGCAGTTCATTGGGGACCCACATTTAAACAATGTACCAGAATCTCTCAGGTTGTCAGTCGCTGCAGCCTCTTCTACCATACTTCTCGGTTGCATCTACAAACCTCCGAAAGCGACAACCAGGGATATGCGGTGCTGCAATTGGGATGCATTTTTTCTCTCCACTAGCGCACCCATTGCAGTAGAACAGTTTTACTATCAGATGAATCGCATCAGCACTGTACTTGTCCCACAATATAAACGTGCCATTTCTGGTCCTAAGAATGTAAATGACACTCTGAATGACCAAAAAAGGAGAAACCTAATCGGAAATTCAGAAAAACTAGAATTCCCACTAATAGTACAGCTACACAGATCCATCACCCGTATCAAGCGCTCACAAATGAACCAGATTGAAAAGGAGGAGCAGAACGCCTTGCGGATGACAGGCAAAGGAAAGGAACTGACCAAATTACTCCGTCATACGACTAACGATGGAATGTCTTTGACCACAGAACTGATTGAAGAGGAGGGCCGCCACGTTACCGACCCACGCGCTAGTTGTGAACCGGTTAGCTCCTTTTTCCCTGCCTGCATGAACTTTGAAACTGACCCCATACCTTGCTGCACGGAACTTACAACAAGTGTCATACATATTGTCGACATCTCTCTTTTGACCATCGAACAGGCTATGAAGTCCATCAAACCATCGATCAAACCAGACTCCGATGGCATCCCCCCATGAGTTATTAAACTCGGTGGACCTGAGGTACCATTGCTTTTGCTGAACATGTTCACATTGTCGTTAGAATCTAGCTACTTTCCGGATCAGTGGAAAACATCGTTTATTGTCCCTCGTCAGCATGTCATTAATTACCGACCTATCCATCATATTCCCGTCATCGCTAGATTAGTCGAAAAATTAATTAAAAGTGTAATCATGAACTTTGCCCATTGTCATAGGCTGCTTAACAAATCCCAACATGAGTTCCTCGATAAACGTTCCTGTACAACTTGTCAGTTGCACTATTCGGATTACATCACAGTAGCCATTTACTCCAAATCTGTAGTTATAATACTGTTCCTGGATATGCAAAAAGCAATCGGCAGAATGTCGCACAAACGGCTACTGAAAAGAATCGAGTCATTTGTAACCAGAGACCCACTATCTGATTGCTCGACATCATACCTAAATGCACGTTACCAGATAGTCACTGCGTAATTATAACTCCTCCCGACGTCCGATCACTAGTGGTGTCGTTCTTCCCTTTTACTATGTTATATTAACGATATCACGGTGTTCATAAAACATGGCAGACCATTTTTGTTCACCGATGAGCTAAAGATTATTTATAAATTTCGACGAGATGAACTCCATAGCGCCATGCTGCTTATTCAAGAACACCTCGATTTACTTGAGAAATGGTGCGACACACAAGATGTTAAAGCTCACAGGTAGTAAATGAAGCATTATGTCACACGAGTGTTAGATCGATGAAGAGTCAGTCAAAGTGCACAATGAACGTATCTGTGTGAAACTATCCAACTGTGATCTAGGCAAACGATATTCTTCAAACTTGAATTTCTCAGAGTAAGCTAAGTAGCAAATAGCACGTGCCAAACGATCTAGGGCTAACATATGCCATAAAATCAATACAACCCGTGCCAGACTCGAGCTTTTCAAAATACTTGCACTTCCTGTCCTTGGATACTGCAGCCTCATTTATGAGAACATGCGTATGGGTGACAGGAAAGCTTTAGAAAATTTGCAAAGATCATTCATTAAGCGCTTGTTCAGTAAATCAACCACCTTGTGTTATCAGGAGCGCTGCCAGCAGTTTAAGCTCGAGCCCATTCGGTTGCGACGGCTGAAACATAACCTAAGGCTGATACACAAGTTAATAAAGCAAAAGACACACTCCAATCTG